TGTTTTTTACGTGTTTCTGTGATCACAATGTATTTGTGTATGTCTGGTGGATGATGTGTTTATAGAGCAGTATAAACCTTATTTTCAATCACTAATTCACATTTACTTATGGTATAATTATTAAATTAATGCGTATAAAAAAGCAGCATAATACACATATTTTTTATTAGTTAAATTTATTCTTGAATATGAAAATCAAAAGAAAAACTAGCAACATTCAATTTAGTAAAATGATTTAAAAATGAGGCAAATCATCATAGAAATGATGTTAGTCTGCATGAAGTAAAACGTTTAAGCGCTTGTAGGTGCTCATATTTGAAAGCTTTTTTCTTTCTTCAGCTTTTGTACAACTGGCCAGAGCTAGGGATGGGTTCTTAATGTTGCGACCCCAAGTTTAGATATTGCCAACTATTTGCAAATGTGACTTTGAAGTAAATCGTACCGTCAGGGTTGTACTGCAGTGCACGAATGTTTGTCACCTTGAAATCTTTACATGGCTTAAGAGTCTTTATTGCACCGTCTGTATATTTTCAAAGTCTTTGAAGAATGTGTGTTGTAAATAGTGAACCTTATATGGGGATGGCTTTAGTCTAGCAGCTTCAATAACGGTGACATACTCAATTGGCGAGAATATTTCACATCACTTTAATCGTCGTTCTATAGTAGCATGAACACTGTCAACTTCCATCTGGGTATGGCCTCTTTCCAAAATTTTCTGTTCCACAACTTTCCCACTCTGGACAGAAAAATATCTTAAAGCTGTTGCTGTTTTGGGATGTACAGCCATCTGAGTAAACGATGATTCTGCTTTTCTGTGGAGCATGTATATTGAGGTAGGATACAAGAGAAGAGCTAAACTCATTAGCTGTCACAGCTCCTTCAGTTTCATTCCATACAAAGTAGTCAACCACTCTGGTGTGAATGTCATAAATTGTGAAGTTATGAACCTGTAGCTTTGTCTTATAGTATGATGCAGAGGCTTTAATTGATGGGGATAAAAGTACCCTCTGCACGTCCATACATATCATTTTAGTTACTTGTGTGTGAGCTGCAAACTTGTCGTTTTTCATTTCGTCTCGGGCAGCCTCTACCTTCTGTCTATGTGCTTGATGTAAATCCTCAGATGTTGCCAGTCTCATATTGACAGCATGTATCACATTTATCTTTGCGAGGTTTGAAAATAGATATGTTTTGTTTTTTTAATTCCCCTACACAGACTGTGATGCCCATTTGTTGAATTTGCTCACTTTTACAAATTATGATATATTATTTATAAATATCAGCATAGGATTTAAAAGCAGGTTCAAGATACAGTTTTGTTGTATCTTTTCGACAGCAATGCGGTGGCATTTTAGCAAGGCGACCAAGAAATTGTTAAATAAACATAACTCCATCTGAGGATGAATCAAATCTTGATGAAGGCGGATTTGAGGGCTTGTTATTGGGACCAACTAGGGTGTTTAACACCCACCATAACTTGAGACCTGTTGTGTTTAAAAACATTGTTTTGCACACCCTGTAGCGTGAACCTGACCCATTTAGAGTAAAATAAATGAATTGGTGTAATGCCTTATTTTCAGAGGTGTCATTCTTAGGTTTAACTTCAATTGAAGCTTTCACAAAAGTCTTCTTCTCCTGCCATTTCATGTTCCAAATATCTGCATGGATGATTTCTCTGTCAATGTCAGGTTGTTATGCTATGAGAATATATAATCTAAAAGAATTTGTTATGGGTGAAAGAAATCTCGCTTCATAGGAAATAATAAGTAACACTACCCCCACCCCATAAACTATATGAATACCTAACCCCGTATTCCACCCACTATACCCGTCTTAATAAACACACATTCACAAACAAAATACACATTTTAGACGTATTTACCCTGCCAGTGGGTAAAAACAGAATACATGTGGGGGCGGGGGATGGGACGTTGCGTAGCATTTTTCATCTTTTAAAGAATCAGCTTACATTGGTTTTAATTTTTTTGTTTGATTCCACTGGGTTATATCTCATCCCTCCTTCCCCTCACTTCACCAAAACACATGGTCTTTCTAAATGCGGCTAGGACAATGTGTTGAATTTTAATCTGACAAGGCTGTCGGCCCATCTTTGGTGTAAAATACGCGCGTGAGGTGTGGGCGTGGGAAGCTGGCCACACAATACCCCTATATGTTGTGGTCATTTAAACAGTTGAACTGTTGAAACTGATTCATATTAGAGTTAGTATAGAACAATTAAATAACATCAAATGTTTTAAAAAACAGACATAATGTCATCATATGAGGAAACATATAATGTACAGATTGACAAAATAAATCGAACATTTAATTTCATTTGTGAATTATTTTTATTTTAGGTAAAAAATGGATCCACATACCAACTTGCTTCATCCGTGTAAATAATGTTAAATTTAAACATCAACTCTCAATTGTTTTCAACTTTGAATTTATCATGTAATAGTTGTACTAATCTGTAAGATTTAAAGCTGTTGACAGTTAAATTGTGAAAAACAACAGTTTACCAATGCTTAAAGTTGATATGTGTGTAGTTTCTATAAGTTTGCTATCCTGTTCTGAGAATTGCATATCCTTCCCATATTTGTGCTACAACTTTATGAACAACAAAAGAACTACGCTAAACATTAAATCAAATACAAATCGATCTGGTATTAACTCCGATTTTTAAAAAAAATGTTTCTTCATGGTTTATGAATCTGTCTCTTCAGTTTCATAATGTTTTATAAAATGTTGATGTTTTACACAATTATTGTCGAAATAACCGTAGCAGTTGATAGCAGAAGATAGGTTAGCATAATATAGCTACATTTGCTAAATATTTAACGAATAATTTATATTGTTAAATAAGAATTATTAAAAAGTAACAATTTAAATGTATATATATAATATATAAAAAAGAATAGATGTTTCTGAAAATTTTATCTAGTAAAAGGTGCTTTATATTCATTAAACGAAAACTGTACGATTCTTATCGCACAATCAGTAGAAGCATGGTATGTGCATGCTGCATTCCGTTTTTGTTAGCTTCTGATTAGAAAACAACGTTAAATGCATTGATACATAAAATATAGCGTAAAGTGCTAATTTCAGTCATCGGAAATCAATTAAAAATGTGTCACAGTCACGAGTATACGAACGAGGAAGAAGATCAATAGGTGATAGAAATCTGCGCCTACAATGTTATACATTTATGTGAAATCTCGTCCACATAACGTAAACAAACTCAAGTTTGAAAAGTTGATAGAATAAAACACATCTGATATAATACTTATATACGAAATTTCGTCAAACTTCCCTAAAAGGTACACAAGTTATCATGTTTAAATGCACACAGACAGAGAGTCTGGCAGAAGGAAAGAATTGCAAAACTAACTTTTTATCAGCTCCGGAAGGTAATGAAATATTTTAAACAGACAAAATCTTGATGTAGACTTTTTTGCACATTTTTAATAGATCCTTTATATTACAAATACAATAAGATGTGGAGGTGTAAAACGGCAAAAAAAAAATATATGTTTGTTTTTTAGCATGATTAAAGTACGTTTATGAAAACTCTGTGTAAGGGAAAGTAAAGGAAACACCAAGCTTAATACGTAATAAAATTGTGGTAAACTTCAACATACAAACTCATAGTTTTTCATTTACATTTAAAAACAAACACAATACCATCAATTCTATCTTCTACAAGGAATTTTAACAAATGAAAAAAATGTAAAGGGTTGAGTATTAATAATTAAATATTAAACATATTAAAAATAAAACTAATGTATAAATGCCTTACACTTCAAAAAGATGATTATTTGTCATTCGCTTTAATTTTAAGTATTTTGATATCATTTTTTTAAAATAAGTATGTCTCAATTATTTGCAAATGAAAAGCGTTTACTACAGTTAAAAATAATGTGACATAATACACTTAAGTTAATAATAATAGTAGTAGTAATAATAACAATAACAATAATAATAATAATAACAATAATAGTAATAATAATAAAAAATAATAATAAAAACAATAATAATAATAATAATAATAATAATAATAATAATAATAATAATGTTATAATCATAATAAAAATCTTAAATTTAAATATATTTCTTTAATTTCTTTTAATTTCTATAATAAGTAACAGAATAATTAAGCATTGTATATTTGGGTAAGTTATGGAACTAGCAACAACAATCTTAAAACACACACAATTTTATGTTAAATGATAGAAAAATTAATAAAATTAATGTCTAAAATACTAATACATGAATAAATATAATACGCAATTAATTCAGCATACTAGCTTAAATATAATTACAACAACACATATTTGTAGAAAGCTAATTTTAATATTGCAAATTATTATTGAACATCTATATCAAATTAATTAATATTTAAAACAAGAAAAAACATGCTGTTACATTTTTAAGCTAGACGTGGAAAATTAGACGTACTATTATATTTCAGTAACATTTTATGTATGCTTCCAATAACATTCAATATATGTACATGTCAATATGTCTCTCTCTTTATCTCTCTCTCTCTCTATCTCATTCATTCTCTTTCTTTTCAGCAGTAGAACATATGCTTAAATTTGAAATTAGTTACCACAATTGTAAGTTATTAAACGTTTACAGTGTACTTTGAACATTAAATTAAAGCTAATAAGAATAAAATGTCTCAAATAACCACTAAATATTAAACGGTACATTTAATATTTTTGTCTATTTGGACTTTGTAATGAAAGTAATGTGGATAAAGAATTTATTATTACTGTGTAAAATTAGACTTACAATATTTACATACTATTATAGATTGATTTTCGCATCGTAAATGATCCGAGTACAAAAACAAATGTAGGTCTTGATACAAATATTCTTTAAAATCGTTTTTCTATCAAAGTTAGCACAAATGAATTAAATAAATTTGTGAAAAAGTTTGCATATGTATGTAGTTTGAGACTAAAATTTGATGATTAACTTTAAAAAAAAAAACATTATTTAATCTCAACAAAACTCTCCAGCCCGTCAGTCCCTTTAATAAACGGGTCGTTTTTTAATAACCACTCAGCAGTTGGCCTTAAGTTAGATTCCTGCTGTAAAATCCTTTCTAAAAACTCTTTCAAGTAAACAGATGACGCTTCAGGTAGTTGATATTTAAGAGGGTTCCCCAGGTAGGTCTGGAAAACAATCTGCTGTGTTGGAACTGACGAGTTTGGTTGTTTCCCGTTAATCATCTCTAACACTGTGCAGCCGACACTCCTGTAGAATGAGAATTTAAAAAAAAAACGGTAATTTTACTAAAAGCATTATCTGCAAATTGATTGTGTCTGACCATATGAGACGGTAACATTTATAAAAGATTCCTAGCAATGTGTGCCAAAAAAGCTGTAAGCACAGAATAACACACAATAACAACCATTAGAATTTTTTTTACACACACACACACACACACACACACATATATATATATATATATATATATATATATATATATATATATATATATATATATATATATATATATATATATATATATATATATATATATATATATATATATAGGCTAAACCTTAAAACTCTATGGTATAGTATCTTTGAATTACGATGAACTAAACAATACAGCACAAATTCAAATGGAATTTTTATCTTAATTATTAATATGAAACGTGTTAAAATATATATTGCTAACGTATGGCCTAGATTTAATCTAAACAGATAAATCCACATTAAAGTTAAAAGAAGACGAAGACTAAAACCTAAGTGATAAATTTAGAATAATCATCATTATATTTTAAATCTTAAATGCTTGGTTATATTCTCATCTGTAATTTTTTAAAATATTGTTTCAACTGCTATATTAATATAGCTATTCAAAATCAATTAAATCGAGTTGAATGTAAGAAATACAGATTCATTAATAGACTATCTATAGACTACGTTATAGTTCAGCACACATAACCTTAATTAAAATTATAAAGTACGTTGAATGCATACATTTTATTTTTTTTAAAGGAACAAGACCTTAAAACATTCAATTGACAAAATGCCCCCGGTCGTTTTTTGAGAAGTTTTTTTTTTTGCGAAGTTTTCTCTTGAACAAAAGAGAATTATTGTTTAAGCTATTTGAAAAAGTAAGTTATTATTCTTAAATGGTAAATTGTTTTAAGAAAGAGAAATATATTCGAAACCTTTGAAGTTATCGACATTTAAATTCATAGATTTCATTAAAAGTAAAAATCATCATCATCATATTTTTTCGTTTGCTCCCAAAACACATGGGCGGGTGAAGTGTAGCTTATCTGTTTTATACCTCGGCATATGGAGGCTAATTTTGGTCAGCACTATTCACAGTCGCCTTTATTTTCCCTAAGAGGTTAAAGGATTAGGGACGCTCTAATAACTTAAATCCGGATTCGAGCTCGAGACTTGCTGCTCAACAGTCTTTAGCTCTATCAATCGAATACGTGGTTATGTTATCGAAATAAAAACTTAACTGGAGTTAAAGCTTCAACATAATGTGTTTTATAAACGATTTTAATGAGACTAAACTGCTTGTTTGACTCGACTCGAGTAATTATTTAATTAATTTGCATAGTGGGTTATCAAAATTTTAATCACTGGTGTTTAATTTTCCACCAACATATAATTAATTCTATAAAATTCTGTACCATATATCTGCCCTGCTTTTGTAGTTTCGTATTACGTTGCCTTCTGTATAAATCACTTCTGGTGCCATGTATCGCACTGTACCAATTTCAGTAGCGGCCCCATTGCCATCTACAAACTCAGATAGACCAAAGTCTGTAATCTTTAGGTTCCAGTCATCTTCCATAAGAACGTTGTTGCCTTGAGAACGAAAATATGAATTTTTAATATACCAAACCTTATTTAATTTTATATTAAAATGGGTACGTTTTAAGATTTGGATCAGTGTTAAAGTTAAAGTAATGCACTAATATGTGTGATATTCATTACTTTATTTGTAATTTTTAATTATTTTAGCACAAGACTATCTTTTTGTTTAAAAAAAAATTGAATTAATTAAAATAATTTCGCTAACGCAGTAGAATATGTACGTTTGCAAGTTATATAAAAACGTGTGACATTAACCTTTTATATCTCTGTGTAGAATGTTGTTTTGATGCAGGTACTCTAAGCCTTCCAGGATTTGAATAGTAAAATGTCTTGTCAAGTTTTCACTCAAACTACCTCTGTTAGTTATAAATGAAGCGAGAGTACCCTAAAGAAAATTAAAGTAAAATTCAATTACATGTAGTTGAACTAACACCATACTATTCTGACTATTACTAAAAGTACAAAGTACACTAATTCACAGTATTTGTCCTTACATTTTTTAAATATTCTAAGAAAATAAAAAATGCATCCTGCGTTTTCTTAAATCCGTGAAATTGAACTATTCGTCTGTGCTTTACTTTAAGTAAAATTGTTGCCTCTTTTTTACAAATATCCTGAAAATAAAAAAGTCTTCTTTTTATTTTTACTAAGAAAACATTATTAATTGATTCTAATACCACTCATAACAGTATATTTTGTTTGCATTCTATGCTGGCTTGGTTATATTTGTTTACAAAAATGAAAAAAAAACGGGGGGGGGGGAGGGGGGTGATCTGGTAAAGCGTGAAAGCATGTTGCTGTTTGTTAGGTTCGGAATCTGAAGGGGAGGGGTGGTTGGTTAAAAATTAGCAAATTAAACGTAACGCAATTAATGCACGAAGCATTATTCTATTGCATATTTTCTAAAATATTCTGCTGAACGATTCGAATTATTTAGATCGTACAACAATTAGCTAGTTCAATTATTTAAGATTTTACTACTTTCCGCATTAAACGGCGATATTTACTCAGCTATAGTTGAGAACAATTGTTTTGTATATTTCTGAAAACATTAACAAATTTCTGATATAGCTCACTTCAGCTACTGTTTGTTAATTCTTTGTTAGCTGTGAATTTCTCAAAATAATTTAGACTTTGCTGAATTAAAGGCGTCCATTATAATTGATAGAAAATATGAAATGTAAGAATAGGGAGAGAAAGAAATTTTCTAACTAAATTAATTGTTGTAAACTTGGCTGCTATTTGTTTCTAGTAGGCGTTTCTTCAAGATTTTAAAATACACAGAATACAAGATTTTAAAGTATTAGAATGCTTTTTACAAACAAGAGAATCAAATTAAATACCGTTAAGCCTAATTTATTAATGACACTATGCCATTATTGCAACTACGTTTAGGCAACTTGTTAGGGATTTGATTTATCAAAAAAAAAAACTGTCCGCTTCTCTAAACAAATATCTATTTAACGTAGTCAATCTTTTTACTTTAAGCTAGTATACATCGTGTACACAAACATCATCACTTTTTACGATTTAAAATAATTTAACAATAGCGGAAGTAACTTTTCTATTTACTTTTTTTTACTGATTGAATACAAATTATGTATAATATGTATTTTTTATTTGAAAAATAATATCTGGCATGTAAGAGACAAGACGTTAGTGACCTTCTTACAAGCCTTATTAATACAAATAAAATATTACAATATGATTTTTTTCTGAAAAAGTTATTTTTGCAGCTTACAAGGAAATTATTCATATCTTTATGTGATGAAAAACAGGATTTCTTGGCAACGAAATTTTCTTCTTCAGGTCGGGCTTCATCTTTTACAAGATGGACACTACCAAAAGCACCTTTTCCTATAGTTGATTCAATAATCGTGAAGTTCTTCGGGAATTCTTCAGAAAGTACCATGTCTATTATTGGAAAAATTATGGAACGAATTAATTAAAGAATATAAACAGGTAGTAATTTTACTTCTTTTCTAATAAATAATTTTAAAATATGGCGAGGGTCTGTATTTGCTTATTTTATAAGACGAAACTGAAAGCTAGATGCTTCTATCTTCTAATTTTTTTCATATTCCACAATTGAAAAAGCATACATATTTGTTTTAAGATAGTTTTAGAGTTATTTTTCTAACCGCTTTTAGAAGGTAGGATTCCGGTACTTTGTCCTGATCTCCAAAATATTGAGTTAGCATTGTCTGAAATAATTTTATCTGGACTAACAGTTAACTGTCCCAACATGCCATTGAGCATATCGTCTTCTAAAATATGTTGGCTGGCTTCCATACCCCTACATAACTCCTTTAGACATGCGGTTGCGTTTCTCTGCTCCGAACCAATTTCAAGAGCAAGAATTTCTTTAAATTTTGGAAGCAGAGGTAGAATCTGAAAAATCATTGTATTTTAGTACAGCCAGTGAACAATAACCATTTAAAAATATAAAATAAAGTTCATACAAAAGTATCTACAACCCACATGTTAATATATGAATACACTACAAAATACTAAGTGTGTCGTTAGAAACACAAGCTTTAAAATCATGTTAATTTTTTACAGGATAAACATCGATGATAATAATCGAAAAAAATGGTATACAATGTAAATTAAAAATAAAAACCGACGCTACATCGTCCCATACTTAAATAAAGCAAATTAAAGTAAACCTGTAACAATAGAATAATAAAGTAAAACAATATTTTACGTCTTGAAATTCATCTTCTCCTTCTGCCAATTTAGCCAAACATTTCAGCAGACCATTGAGTCCTATCCCATGATATGTTCTTTCTTCATTCATGATAGCTGTATGTATCCCTTTAATTACGGCTTGTTTTAGCTCTCCTATACAGACAATAGCAACATGTTGATTTAAATCCCTGATCACAATTTTTGGTTTATTAATAATAGGAATCGTTTTAATAATCAGTTGATTCATTTTACGGTGAGACGGCGCGGTCTAGTGGAAGAGCCATAAGCTACTATCCCAAAAGTCTCGAGGTCCATTCCGAGTTTCAGTCATACCTGAGTCCACCCAGCCATGATGTGTACTTAGCTCATTTTTGAGAAAGTAAATTATTAACTTTACTCCATCTGCTCAATGCATCTCTAGGTCTAAAGACGATAAAAACTTGAAGCAATAATCTGAACATGTATATTAACTATGGACCATAAAAATGTAAAATGCCAAAGCTAAAATACATTACTCACAATGTAATGTTACGCTATCTTTTTAAATGTGCTATTTTATAGGAGAAACGCTATACTATAGCCTTTACATGCGTAGGCAAACATCGGTGTGGTAAAAGTTGACTAAAGCGCCCCAAAGATTGTTGGTAAAAAGTAAAACAAAAACAAAAAACGCTGTACTAATTACCGACCTGGTAGATATTATATAACCAATAGTTTTAATTATGCCATTTTATGTTTATACCTTGGCAGCAAGATCAGCAAAACGGGAGGCACAGAGGAGGACATAGAGTTAATAGAGCCCGCTGCGCCTTCACAGACCTGCGACCCATATGGAAAAGTTCGGCCATCTCCATTACCACAAAAATTCGGATATTTAACTCAAATGTCAAGGCAGTTCTGCTGTATGGAGCAGAGACATGGAGAGTCTCCAAGGCAAGCACAGCAAAGATACAGACCTTCATGAATAGATGCCTTAGACAGATATTGAAACTGAGATGGCAGGACAAAAAGCCGAACATAGAACTATGGAGGAAAGCTAGGCAGGAGCCTTTGGGTGTGCAAATAAGAAGGAAGAAGTGGCGCTGGGTGGGTCACACACTGCGAAAGTCTCACCCAAATGTTACACGCCAAGCGCTTGAGTGGAACCCCCAGGGAAAGCGGAAAAGAGGGCGCACAAGACAGACCTGGAGGCGGAGTCTTCTTGAAGAACTGAAGCCAACAGGGATGTCTTAGGTGATGACAAAATTTATAGCCGGGGATAGTAAGAAATGGAAGGAAATGGTGGAGGCCCTATGTTCCACAAGGAGCAAAGAGGACTAAGTCAAGTCAAGTCATTTTATGTTTAGGGGAGTTTTGGACCTTGTTTATACAAGTTTATCTCCTCCAATTTCTAATCAACTTATTTTTAGCTTATTTTGTATTTAACATTGTAACGTTTGTATTAATTATATAAATACAAATGTGTATGTGATGACGCTTGGATAGGTTAAGTAGATAGAAGTCAGCAGAAACAGGCTCTAGCTAGTTGGTTAGAGAGACCAATGAAAATACAGGAGCTGAAGCGTGGGTCTGCAATTAGGCCATCAGTTGGTGTTAAGTATCAGGTAGAGACGGTCGGAGATATGTAGAGCTAGGGAGCAGTTGGTTGGTCAAAGGTAGCAATAGGGAACGGCCAGAGAAATGTAGAGTTAGGTAGAGAGTTTGAATGTAGTGTGTTAGGAATGGTCATGGGAGTGCGTAGTTAGTAGTAGTAGTAAACAGTATACAGTAAAGAATAGATTAGTTTGGTAGGAAGTTGATTGTGTAAATTTTAATCTTCTTCTTCTTCTTCGTTCTTAATTATTAGTGTTGAAGGGGATCCAGATTTATCTGCCAGTGGGTTTGAACTCGAGACTTTGTTCGAATTTATCAAACATGAGCTTTTTGCCGACTCGACCACGCCTCCAACACAATTAAGCGGTACGTGTCAACTGGTTATGCGCCATTGAGGCCATTGACTCCGATTTCAGCCTGCTTTTCTTTTTGGATTTGCTTCCATAGCCTTTGTCCAACCAAGAACAAACTACGAGGCAGCAGTTGTTTAATTTTGGAGTTGTCTCTCCTAGAAGAGTGGCTGTTCCCAGCTAACGAGCCTCATCTGCCCGAGGGTTCGAACTCGAGACTTTTCGATTTAGCAACCATGAGCTTTACCGACTCGACCACTCCGACCCCTAAATTTTAATGAAGAACATTATATTTTGACTTGAACTTGTGTGTTGAATCTTTCTTCATCTTCTTCATCACCCCCACTCTCATATTTGGTGTCGTTGCATTTCCCCACCCTCACAACTGGCGGAAGATCACTTTATTCACCCCCCCCCCCCCACACCCTCACAGTGTCCTTTAATATGTTGCCACATATTAGCTTTCATGAGTCGGGCGTCTTTAAGGACTAAAGATCTCAAAAAGAACTTCAGTCCTACAGAGATTGTGTTTGCCATATTGAAGAAATGATGTGATAAATGTATGAGTTAACGTTTCAGTTCACCGGGGAAAAAAATATCGGCCACAAAAATATTTTTAAATAAACCGGGAGTGATCTCCCCTAAACTTTCTCGAATATTCTAATATAAAATTAAGAGGGATGGTAACTCAGGACATAGACAATATTTGTTATCCATTTTTAATTACTTACACTTTTTATAATAGAATAGAATCTCGTAAAAAAAAGAATTGCACACCTAGTGAAAAGTTTCCCTTTCAAACCTGACGGTCAATGGGGAAAGTGAAGTAGAGTTTACTTGTTTCTGTGACCTCGGCATATGAAGAGATAGTGTGATCAGCACTATGCCCAGCCGCCTTTACTTTCCCTAACAGTAGTTGGGTACCCAACAGTTTTGGGTGGACTCAGGGACGGTCTACTGACTTGAACTCGGATTCGAACTCGAGACTAACGGGTTAGCAGTCCAGCTCTCTACCGCTAGACCACTCCGTCCCACACCAAGTGAACACCTAAAAGTGTGTATAAAAGTGCGGTATATTATTAGTACTTCATAAATTTACATGCGGTTTTTGAGAAATCGGAAACAGCGTCAAGTAGTACTTCCGGTCAACGGAAATTACTCAAAATTTGACAGAAGGTAGAGAATTAGATCTTTTACTTACGTGTGAAATTTCATGCATCTATCTAAAATAGTACACAACTTATAGGCTTTTGAAAAATTCAAAGTAGAAAAAGTACCATTTCCGGTTATCGGAAATCGCTTTAAAGTTGATCAGGATCTACGATTTTGATAAAATACTTATATATGAAATTTCATCAACCTAGCTGTAATGGTACTCAAGTTATCGTGTTTACACACAGACAGACACACAGACACACAGACATACGGACAGAATTGCAAAGTCCAGTTTTTACGACTCGATAACGCATAAAACGCCAAAACGTTTATATATTTGTATTTATAATTTTTGCCTGATTAAAATAAGTCCTCTATACTCCGGATGTGATGAAGGATTGAGGAGTAAAACGGTGAAAACTGTCAAAATTTCTTGTTATTTTTATGCACGATTACAATACTTTATCTATACTTCGTATATACGAGAAAGTAAAAAAAAAAGTTTAAAAATAACTGGCGGAGATTTGTTTACACTTTCAGTTTTATAAAATAAAGAAACCCAACATTGAATTAGCCGTAGGCTGAACTTATAGTCGTTGGAATGACCTCACACTTTAAGCAAGAAGCTATTTGTGTTTGTTTTTTAATTCTGGCTATATCAATGCTTTTTTATTGATATCCTTGAGAAGATATCCTCTAAATAAAGATATATAATTGGATAGATTTGAACGTGCAAAAGTGATACTTTAACTCGAGAGCTATGTCTGCTGAACAATACATGTTGGGACCAGTAAGGATGTACAATGACCAATTGCTGTATACAAATTAGCCTATTGGTGTTGAACCTAATATATCTTTTACCCTATGCCACTTTTTTGCTTTGCTAGTATTTGGACCATTTGCGAGTAGTAAGAATCGTTTTGTTAGTGTTTTATGACTTTAGTTTTAATAATAAAATATAAAAAATGTTGTGAGTTGGATTTGCGAGAGTAGTTAGGAGCGTATGAATGTTGATGCAAGAGATATAATAAATGATTGGAATGATGATGCATATGGAAGATAGTGCCGTTTGTGTAGAAACGATGTGGCAGTGGCTAGAGTTTCATCTAAGTCACCGATTCGAAAGTCAATTCGGTTAATGCTACTAATGTGAGAGCTAAACTGTGTGGATAATTTGTATAAAACCTGAAATATAAATTAAGACGCATTCTGTCAGTGTTTTACCCTGCCTGTACCCTAGTGATATCCTATGAGAAGGGATATCAGTAGTGGAAGGTCCAAGGTGTTTAATACTGGTAAAGTAAGGTGAAGCCCTCTCACAGCTTGAACAAAAACCATATTTTTTTTTTGGTCTCGTTTACAACAGAGCTGCTTCAGCGTAAAAATCAGTCATGTTTCCGACTTAAAAAAAACATTGTTCTTTCTTAGATGGTACGAACTACCCACTTTACCCAATTTTTATTGTTTCAGCACAAAGAAATCAAAATTAAGTTTGAGTTATCAGTTTTAAAAATTGAATAAGAAATGTAAACCACTAACATACGCATTACTATCTACTACAGCAATATGTCTGATGAAAATTTTCTGTTACCTTTGATCTGTCTTGTCAAGTTTTCCCCAATTAGGGAAAGTAAAACTTTTAAACGAAATGAGATTGCCTTGTTATTAGATTTCATGTTGATGATTACCTGTATTGATAAAATAAATTCATTACACACAATTTGTTATTCAAAAGATTACATCATGAAATTTTATTATGAACTGGTATTCTATATATTGTTAATTATCTGTTAATTATCTGTGAGTTACGTAACCTTAATGTTTATAACTTCAAAGTTTTTCTGCAAAAAAGTCTTTTTTTTTTAAATTTCGCGGCGTCCGGCGAGGGTGCGATTTTTATTTTTTTAAATATATTTCTCAATAAAAAAAAAATAAAAGTCGGATTCGATTCTACACCGTTTATCCGAGTGCCATGAAACTTTGAGAGGTTGATGAAAATACTCGCGAGAAGGTTCCTGCGAAAAAAATTGTAATGTATAATGGGCGGCG